AAAAAAACAAAAAAAAAAAAACAATAAAAAAAACAAGGGGTGCGCGCATCCGTCCCGTTGCCCCTGGCATTTTCTGCTTGTTGCAGAAAAAGACCCCAGTCGGGGCCCCCTGCCCGGGGTCACAACCACCCCAAGCAAGGGCCAGGTCGGTCGAGCACGGGGGCAGGGATGCTCTTCGAGGCAGTGGCAACGGGCATCCCGGGGCGCGAAGGCGGGTTCGGATGTCTGTGTGTGACACCCAACCTCACGCCCTGCGCGACTTCCTGATCGGAGTAAGATGGGGGCCCGGAAGTGCGGAAAGGGGTGTGCCAAGGATTTTAGGAAAATGGGGGCGGAGTCTAAGGTCGGAACTGAGATCTCCTATGGCAAGCTCTAGGGGTATCTATGCAAGATAGCAAGCGCAGGTCGCATCGAGCCTTTTAAACCTCGGAGGGTGGATCGCCATCCCCTAGGGTTTCGTCGTCTGGGTCTATCCCGTATTTGGTGTACCAGCGGGACGTTGTGGCTGTCGAGCTGTCTGAATAATTGTTGCCGACGAATGTCGTTTAAGGCTCGCACGATGTCCCACTAACAAACTCGCTCGCGCCCCATTCGATAGGGAAATTCCGGGAGTTTGGCTCTGGGGCGTGGAGAGAAGTGTGTGCGCTCCCAATATTATCGGAATTCCCGGTCTCTCAAACACTCGCGATCGGTAACATGGAAAGGAGTTTCAACATTCATACTGTAGGTCTAGCAGATCCCCTGTCATTCGGGAGGCCGGTCGCAGGCAGGTTTTGCAAACACGCGTGTAAGCAGCGGCCCTCGGAGTCGAGCTTACACGTGTGTGCACAAGGCCTGTGGGTTATTCTCCGAGAATGGGTTCGGTCGGGTGTGCCGAAGGGAATACATTTATACATCTTACATGCCCATCTACTTTCCCTTCGAAACACCCATACGTTGTTACATGGGCATATAGCCGGCAAAGATCGCGCAACCAACGGTCGATGGATCATTATGATTGTCAGTTCAAACGAACCAAAAGACGTATTTCCTCTAAAACTCGTCATCCATGCATTGGTCGAAATTAAGAGGTTGGGGCCGGGCACATGGTCAGTCATACGACTTCCTAGTGTATATTGCAAAAGAAGGAGAAGAATGGGAATCGACAAGTATGCATGCATCACAACACTCCAGCCAACTCGACCATTCATTCGCACCGTTTTGGCCAAAAACGCGCCGAAATTGGACACAGACGATTATCATACTCAACTCGACAAAATCGTAGGAAAGGAAAACAAATCAGATCACTCATCAATTACCCAAAAGAAAGAAAATCCGAGCTAGCCGCAAACAAAAGATGGTTGGCGGCAATTGTCAAAATTACACAGACGAGGGGAGAAGAGACACCATCCCAACACACTCTCTCTCTCTCTCTCTCTCTCTCTCTCTCTCTCTCTCTCTCTCTCTCTCTCTCTCTCTCTCTCTCTCTCTCTCTCTCTCT